ATCCCCCTCTATCACCATCATCATCTCTATCACCCCACAACCTCCTTTATCACTTTCATTCTCTATCTCTACTCACTGTTATTATCCTTTTCACCTCTTTCACTCTCTACCCTCTCATCATCATCATTATCATCATCTCTACTTCTTCTACTACTCTCTTTCCCTCTGTATCATCTCTATCATCATTATCAGATTAATCAGAGCTGTACAGACTGCAGAGTCAGCTATTCAATCTCATTCATGAATTCAAAGAGATGTATATGACATCATATGAGATTTTATTACAGAGTATTTAGCAGTATATACTATAAACACAGAGATCAAAATATGATAGAGATAGTAAGAGAGAAGTAGAGATAGTGAAAGTGATAGAAGAGACTGTAGAGTAGTAGAGATAATGATGATGATAGAGAGGCTAGAGAGTGGAAAAGGTGATAGAGAGAAGTGATAGAGATGATAGAAATGAGAGAGATGATAGAGATGGTAAGAGAGAGGTAGAATGGTAAGATGAGAGTAGAGATAGAGAGTGGAAGTGATAGAGAGTGCTGTGAGGCGGTAGAGACAGTGGTGATGGTAGAGGTGGTAGGAGTGGTAGGGGTGGTAAGAGGTGATAAGGGGTGGTAAGGGGGGCTCGGAGTGGAAGAAGTGTAGAGGTGGTAGAGGTGATAGGGATGGTAAGAGAGTGAGTGGTAAGATGGGGGTAGAGTAGAGATATGAAGTGGAAGTGATAGGGGGGCTGTGGGGTGGTAGAGGCAGTGGTGGTAAAGGTGGTAGGGGTGGTAGGGGTGGTAGGAGTGGTAGAGGTGATAGAAGTGGTAGGGGTGGTAGGGGTGGTAGGGGTGGTAAGAGTGAGTGGTAAGATGGAGGTAGGGGTATGAAGTGGAAGTAATAGGGGGTGCTACGGGGCGTTAGAGGCGGTGGTGATGATAGGGGGTAGATAGAGTGATGCAATTGGCAGGCGCCACTACGTATCCATGGATTTTTGATGGGGTGCACGTGATGTCACATGAGGTCACGTTACAGCGTTTTTTGCACGGAAAAGTTGGTTTTTCTTTAATATATAGAGAGATTATCCTCATTCACACTATTCTTTATTATTGTCTATCAAGATGAACCTCCTTGCTGCTCTTGAATCTTCTGCTACATCTTCAAAGCAATTAACCTGCAATCAATGTTGAGATATTTTTCTTCTTCAGTCTTGATTGAACTTATGAAAAGACCTTCAATCATCTTGAGATTCAATACAGATGCAATCTGAGTGCAGCTACTTCTCAGAAGCATACTGATCACTCTATTCTCTGAATTTGAACTCAATTGAGACTGTATGAAATCATACGAAGCTGTGAATACAGAAGAACCGTGAAGATGAGGAGAATCTGTCTTGTGAAGTTGTGATGCACTTCAAGAAGTGATTAGAGCTGTCTGAGATGTTATGAGAGAGGAGCAGCTACAGGAGCTTATAGCAGAGATGCCAGCTCACTGTCAGACAGTTATACAGGCAGGTGATGACTATACTAGATATGAATATGATTATTGATTCCTCTACAGATTATTCTATAATAATGAGAACGTGCTCAACGCGAGAATGCCACATATACCCCCTCCCCAGAATGATGGTTAGAATGCCACTAAAATATTAGGATGGAACTAACGAAAATACCGGGGCATACCGTAGTACATCATCGATTTAATGCTATCCGCCCTGACCAACTTCAACCAGTTCACCCTGTCCCGCCTCTGGATGTCCAAGGAGCTAGATATATATGGTGACCCTTTGCCATGTCCTCCGAGAGCCCTGATGCTCTCCGCCTGTCTTGTCGTTGGAACAACCTCTCCGTATGCTTCCACGAAATACCAAGGCACGGCCGGCCGGGTCTGAGAGCAAAAAACGGAATATCAAAGGCATTTGTGCCCTAAGGACAGGCAATTCCCAAGCAATGACTGCAATGACCCAGCCTCACACGCCCACTGACTGGGTCCATTATTGGCGCTTGATCCGCTGACGGAACCTTAGAAAGCTAACGGATAGTCCCTTCTGTTTGGCTTGGCACTTGCGGGAGGTTATTATATCAGGCATCTCAACGGAGCTACGGTCTGTTCTCTGTTCAGAATCGAAGAACTGCCCGCATCATGACACAACTGACTAAGAAGATAGAGTGTGGTATTTGCTATATACTATCTGCTCACAATCTACTACGGCGTGTTTCGTTTTTGCCAACCGCGGTCTACTTGAGCGGGTATCACTAAAGCTATGTGCTACTCTTGGACCGTTCGACTTCTTAATTCTAATATTGCATCACGGATTCAGTGACATATGAGCCAACTCGGCAGCTTCCCCGATTTCCTTTGTAAAGCTAGCCCGGAGGGAACAGCTTGTTCCTCATGAGTTTTGGATTTTCTCCTTCAGACAGCTTCAGCCTAATCGAAATATGCCATTATATCGTTAATTGCCGACATGGCCCCACGAGTGCAGCGCAGGCCATCACTGGGCTTCGTGAAGAGGTGCTAGATTTTTTGAGGATCTTCTAAAATGCTTCCATCTTATTCTCGAAGAGACGGATGAAGTTTCCTGCATCGAGCTCCGCGAGGTGGAAACTACATTAAGAGAATTTCGAGCGCATCTGGAAAAATATTCTGTTTTACAATAGCAGTCCTTAGGAAACGACCATCTCGAGCCACCAAGCCCGCGCGTGAGTATCCGCAGGTCAAGGGAGATTCTGATGAAATCGAAAAATGCGACTCGATTGGGAGAGGAGGTTGTCAGGCACTTGGCATGGGGAGAGAAGGACATTATAGCTTTGCAGGAAAGAATCGAGAGGCATAAGCAGTCACTGTGGTTGTACCTCATTTGGGCTATATCATTCGCAGCGAAATTGCGGGAAATTTGGTGGTTCTGACATGCGTTCAGGGAGAAAACCGCTGGTATCAGGATAAGACTGATGAGCATGGAAAAGATGCTTGCGGAGTTGCGCGCAGAGCCAACATCGACATCGATCAACGTGCCCACCCACTTGGATCGGGATGTTTCCTTTTCGTTCCCGATCGACGCAGGTGTCACATACGCAACGGACAGATATCAAGCAATTCTAGCTGCCATGGAACGCCAGATGGAATTCGCCATGCTGGAAAGGAACCGGGCAGACATTGGCGAGGACGAGGAGTGGGAGACAATTTGTGGTCAGCCTGATCTTTTCCACCGTAGGGTTCTCAACGCCATAGAACCCAAGGCAAACGCTTCGGCTCAGCATGGAAATGGATCTTGGCCTTCCCACCATGAATTCAACAAGGCTCTGCTTTCACAAAATGCGATTGAAACCCCACTGAAAAGAGCTTCCACTTGAAATGATGCTAGCCACCATGAGCCAACTAATCCACTTCCTCCCCTGTATGAAGAGAGAGGGTATCGGTTCGAAGCTGGATCAACGATCTCTACGGCGACTGAATCAACCTCACCGTTGCCTTCAGTGTTCTCATTTAACCCGCCTTTGCGAACTGCAACGACAAGCACTGTCGACAGCATAGATCCTCTGACGGCTAACACTAATGTTTCGGACATGAAGCGCAGACCCTCCTCGAACACACACGTCGGGAAAAACGGAAACACGAAGAGCAGAAGCTCCTGCCGCGGCCTCATATTTCTTTATCGAGTGAGACGGAGTTGTCGCATCGCCCTAGCTTTGAATCGTCAAATGGATCGGGAGGGCAAAGAAGTTGGAAAGCTTTACAGTTGAATGGCTGGGCAAAAGTGTATGTTGACCAAGTTCCATTTCTACGTCTATTAACTAATCCACTTTCCCCGTGGTAGTATTTGGGATGACTGTCCCTCTCCAGTTTAAATACTGCACTCTCGAAGCAGGCCATCGCAATGACGACCGTCTATACACTATTAATGCCGTTTATCTCCACGATTCCTCAACAGCAACTTCCCATTATAAAATGTTCAGGTAACGCTATTTCCATCTTATCAGGTGTTCGAACAGGAGCTAAAGTGACAAGCAGTATCATCAGCCGCGAGAAGGCCGATCCCCCACACGGAACCTCCAGGCCCTCAAGATGACTCTTCAGATGCTTTTCGCGTTTATTTCGTTAAACCTCCGATCATGAAACAGGGAGAAGAAAGAGTTCAATATTTCTTCAAGAAGCAAAAAGGTATCCTTGATAATGTGAACAACCCTGTATTTAATTCCATGTTTGACTCATATCTCTAACACTGTGTTCCTCCGCGGTAGACCAGTTCAGTTTCCAGAGTTGGATCTACGGCCGGAAACTTATTTTGGCTACTATCATACAAAAGATTTCTTCTACTCAAGGAAAGGAATCAGACCGACAGTACATTTGGATATAGGAAGCCACGTCGCCAGGACATCCTCGAGCTCTTCTTTATTGGCTACTGTGAGGTTCAAGAAGTACATTGAAATTAACGGTATATAATTTGATTAGTGAGAATCATGGAGAATCAAGATTGTCTCGCTAACCATCCTCTTTAGAAAAAGAAATTCTGCCCAACTACAAAACTTCGTCACGAAACAATGTTCTTGAACTAAAACTTCTCTCACTAATGCAGCATTTACATTTATCTCCTAGAAGTAAGTAACCATCTGTGCCACCCAACCGCTCCCAGCTTTGGTCCTTCGAAACAAGGATGCTTCAGCCTCATCATAGTAGCAAAAGTGATCTTTTCGATGTCTCTCCATAGATCTGTAAGATTTTATCCGTGCCCTGTCCGCCGCGAGCCCCATGCAAAGACATAGCTGACAAGTTCGTAGATCTTCCACGTATGGCGTTTTTAGCCTTGACCACCCTTGGCCCCTTGCAACCTCGTGGTTGTTTCCGGGCTTCTGTATGGGCCAAGGAATCTCTGACAGCTTCCAATACTTTCGTTAATTCTTCCGCCCTCCCATTTTCGTTTGGAAAGATCACAAGAATAAGTTGTCGGCAGTGCATTGTCTGTCTAATGAGGGGCTATGCACGGTGCACAAGATCTCAACACCGATGGAAACTCATCCTATCCTCCCTGTTTTCGTCGTTTACCATCTGACAGCATGTAACCGTGCTACTCCCCATGAACCATTGGCCGCCACATGAAATGCCGAGATATCCTCTGGGCTGATCAACCGTTGGCCAAGCGACTTGGTTTCCAGGCCGGACTTCCCGCCTCGCGTTTTTGACAGCTTCTAACTTATCATAGCTCCATACAAGAAGAATAAGACTCTCTCGAATTCACTTTTAACCGAAGGGAGAGCTTCTTGCCATGGACTTTTCTAGATCTATTTTACAGATGTGGCTTTCAATGACCTAGCGGTCGTTTTATTATGATCCTATTCTCAACAACATACTCTCTAGTGATGAAAATTTCCTATAGGTTTCAAGATCAAGAATCGCACAGAAAACTTCACCCATATTCCAGTGCGTTACTGAATCTTCAGAATGATCGTTTAGACTCAATTAATGGGTTAAATATTACAGGAGCTTCATTTAAGACGCCATCGAGTCTTTGATGAGCTCGATGCCACCCACTTTCAGGGTCTGGTTGTGTTTGTTGCCGGCGTAATCTTTTTCATAGATGGATATGACGTATGTAACGCATGCATCTTCGAATGCGGTCCTCAAACAGCAGTAAACAGGTTTACGCTTCAATATCACCTAACAGATATTCGGGGATCATAATCCCTATGCTTTCGCATGTCTATTGGCATGGAGCGATGCCCTCGGGAATCGAGACTGCTATGCGCGCTGCCTGCCCCCCCCCGTCAGAACCATTATCGGCCAATATGCACTCGGTGTTCTTGCGGACCTTTATGGCCGCCGCAAAATGTACGGGCTTGAACTGCTTGTCATTATCATCACAACAGTCGGGGTGACAATGGCTTCGGAAGGCGCCTCGCAATCAATGAACCTTGCTGGATGGCTAATCTTCTGGAGATTCCTAATGGGGATTGGGATTGGTGCTGACTATCCTCTGAGCGCAGTGATAGTATCTGAGTTTGTTCCTACCAAGTCTCGTGCTCGAATGATTGCCACTGTTTTCGTTATGCAGCAATGTTGATTGATACCTTATCACCACATTGGTGGCTCTTTTTGCTACATTGGCGAACAAGAATGGACTCCCGACCAATAATCCCTACATATGTCGACAGTATCAGATCATGCACTGATGACGAATTATGTCGACGGACAATAGATAGCATTTGGCGCTGGGTTATAGGAGTGGGGGCCATCCCGGCTGCCATTGACATACTTTTCCGGATTAGTATCCCTGAGTCCCCCAGACAGATATACCATGGAAGTTCTAAACCGGCCAGACGAGGCACTGGAAGATCTGAATGAAATGGGATGGAAACGAGCAACTCGTTCACCTCATCGTACACGCAACCCCGAGATGCAAACTTCCGAATCAAGAAGTCTCGCTTCCGAATATATTCCTAGCACAACACTGGTGGCATTTTCTCAAGCCAAACACAGCCCAGGGAACCGCGAATAATAGTGGCAATAACAATCATTCCAAAGCCCCTAAAATTACCGAGCACCGGGTATCAGGCGAGTCTAGCAGGGATGCGCGTAACAGATCAATACTCAGTCCGAATGCTCCTACTCTCCTCTCAGAAGCAAGCTCCATAATCACAGTTGATGGACCAGCAAGACGATCTATCAAGAACTATGACAATTCAGACATTGATGAGGAGAAACCAAGCCGGTGAGCATGATTCTACACCAGCTTCATAGAACTCTTCCTCACCAAAGACCACTGGCCCACTTTACTGGAGACCTCTCTCTCCTGAGCTTGCTTTGATTTCGCCTACTCTACTATGCCCTTAGCCCAAACTCCTACAAAGTAATTTCCGAAATCTTCAACGAAAAACCCCTGAAATTCACGCGAGATCCAGGTGGCTCCCCTCTTTCCCTCCCTACTCGCAGCGTCTACACCGACCTCCTCGAAAACTTGTGGCACACATCTCGCCGCGTACAATACAGCTATTCATCTTCCTAGTCCTAACTGCCATCCTTATCGCCATCGGCGTAAGTTTCGAAACCGTAAGCCATCACACCTCCGTCCCACCCATTAGCTTCCTATACATTCTCAGCCAGATATTCTTCAAAATTGGCCGCAATTTTCACTACCTTCATGGTCCCCGCGAAGCTTTTCCCCACCCGGTTCCGTTGCACCGCCCACGGCATCTCCTCTGCAGCGGGCAAGATTGCGTCTGTGGTTGTGCAGGCGTTCGTTGCATTCGCACCCATTGGGTCCTACCGATCTTCGGATCCTGGTGCGGAATGGCTGGGGTATGTTATTATTATATTCGTGCCGTTTATGTTACTTGGGGTTGCGGTGACAAAGTGGTTGATTCCGGAGACGCGGGAGAGTGATGGGTCGAATACACTGCTGGAGCAGTTGGAAGATGTGATTAAGATGAATAGGCAAGTTAAGTTTTCGTGTGCGTCGGCGAGGAGAGGTGTTAGTGGTCTAGTGCTAAGCCTTTTGACTGCTTTTGTTTCGTCCGATCTCGAGAAAATTTTTCCCTTAGACACTGTCTGAGCAAGTGGTAATCATTGTAATAAGATATCATAGGCGCTTTTCCAACACTTTCTGTCAATCACACCTAATATGCACAGTGCTTGAATTCTATGGATTTTACATATTTCTGATCTGAGATCCAATGGCACTACATTCCGAATCTATACATAGGGCGAAACAAAAATGAAGTGCAAATCATAACTCACACAGGTGAAAACAGATATCGAACTGTACTAGGAGCAAAGCGAAGAAAAGGGAAACATCTGAGCCCGTTGACTAACTAACTAATCAAGGCCCACCTGTCGTTTCCTCCACTCATTCCGTTTGTGCTTCAACTCTCTGAACAAAAGAATACGCGAATCAAGGACCTCAAAGTCAACTCCAATTGTTTCACATAAATCCTCCAGCTCTTCAGCCTGGTCCAGAAATTCCTGCGGGATCCCCGGCTCCGGCCCGTTTAATGTCATCATAATGCCGGGTTGATTCCGCTCGTCGTTTCTGGAAAATTCGCCCTCAATCTTTAACTCGCTGAGCCGGGGTGTGTATTGCGAGAAGTTAGAGGGTTCGACCAGATTCTTCAGGTGCCTGATGACTCCGGCATAATGACGTTTGGAAACGTTGGCCAGCGTAAGTGACTCGAGCGAAGCGGGGAGTATCGTTGACAGCCGCTTGTGATCTGTGGGGTTCAATAGGGCGTCGTCGTAGTCGTCGCCTGTGCTGCCCAGCGCGTCCGTACCTATCAGACTCGTGGCTAAGATGTACAGTGATTTTAACACAGAAAAGCCGGCCAGGGAGCCAAAAGTCTCGTCATCTCCCTGGTAGGACTGCCCATTGAAATAGTAGTCGTCATAGCTGAGCCAGAGGTTTTCGAGGCTGTGCTTAACGTGAGCGAGAGAGCGGGCGAAATCTCCCGGGAGGAAACTAGAGTCATATTCAAAGGAGTCGGCGTGTTCGAATCTGAACGATGTGAGATTTTTGCACAGCTTGATTTGCCGGACGAAGCCATTATTAGTATTGCTTCTCGAAATATCTATTTCGGACACGGTCGAAGTTGTGGGCTTGTTTTCTGAATATGCTAAAATAGTTGCACGGTCATCATAAACGCTGATTGGCTCTTCATCTTCATACTCATCATCATCATCATCATCGGGTTTCATTGGTATATAATCTGTAATTTGTTCGCCAGCAACACGGCGGACGGACGGAAAGAAAAAGAACGGCTCTAACGCTTCGGATTCAAGAGAATTCTCGCTATCATACCATTTGGCGAAGACGTGAGAGAGGCGGGTGAAAGCTGGCCGGGAATCAAAGGGCGGTAGACGTGCTGCCGCACGTTCGACAAGTCTCCGTGGGAAAGAGCATTCATATGGCACAGACAACCTCAATTCCTTCAAATTTGGGACAGAGAAAAGGAGTAGACCGACCCATGCATCCTCATTGCCGGCTGAGAGATGAGCCAGAAATTTTGGTAGCGCATGTTCGTCGCTGGCAGTGTAGAGCCCCTGGGCCGCGTTGCGAATAAGGTCTTGGTCAAAGAGGAGCTCCGAATTTGGAGATGGAAGGGTCTCAGGTGGGTCATAGCTGTTTCTCCTATAGCTGAGCTCCGTCGACCAATCGTTAATCTCAAGAGTTTGAGTGCATGATGCAATATGCGGGTTGCGGAGGAGCGTTTGAACCAGAGCAATCACAGTCTTAGCGCCTACATCTTCCAGTTTGATATCGAGGAAGACGAAGCGGAGAAACAGCTCAGAGAAGGCACGAGAGCATAGTGCAAGGTGTAGCCGATGGATTGGGCGTTTGATACCCAAAGCAATGTGGAGTAATATCTCGATGGGGAGATTGCTTAGGCTGAGGGGAGACATTGCTTTTCAAAACCCCTCGTTTTCCGTCCTAGAATCCATTCTTCGCTTCTTTCCCAGTCGATATGCTGGATAAGAGGGGGAATACGAGGTCCAACAAAGCATTCACCTGGAGCTACCAGCTGTATTCTTGTTGCGATGGAGAAGAGATCCAGCTCGCGGAAATTGAGGGTTGCCTAACCTCTCCTTGGCTTTCGAGCTGATGAAGTGCCCCACGAACACCAGCACTCCACTCTTGTCGGTTTGCTCACTTCTTTCGGATTTCAAGACCAGTGGCAGCAAACAGGAACTTGGGAAGCTAGTGCATGGCCGCGTCTGGCCGATGTTCGAACCAAGGAGTGTATCCCCTGTATCCCAACGAGCTGGGAAGCGAAATGCCCAGTTCATGTCGCGTCCATGACCCTCCCCTCCCTGCACGGTAGCAGTTAGCAGGCTAGGATAGTTTGTGGTTGGCTTCTCAAAACTTGGTCCTAACTAAGTTAACTAACACTAGGGTACCGAAACCATTCATTCGATGAGATATGAGTCTGTTGTTAGGGTTAGGGCTAGGGCTAATGTCCCAATCGGGCAGTTTGCGACAACCAGTTGCTACAACGTCTATGAAAGAGACGCCACAGGCTTGAAACCAGGTGAAACGCAGAGCAGTTGTCCGAAACATTGACTTTCAAAGGCTTCCCCGCATTTTGCGCATCGCAGGGTGGGGGTTTGCAGCCGAAACTCTAACCGGGAGCTTCTACGCCCATCTCTCAACTCCTTAAACGTCAGCAAGGATACTCTCCATGTAGAACCATGGATATTCTTCCGAGAAAACGTACTAACCATCCCATGTTCCCGAATGCGGGGATTGAACTTCGGGATATCGATGTCCCTGGAGCGCTTCCGTTCGTATAACTCGCGGAGTTGCTACCTACGAACAAATCTAACAAGCATATAAGAGCCTAGGATCTTCCCCGCTCGATAAGAATTTACCGTTCAGGGTCTCCTCATTCAGCACTGCCATACTCCCTACGTCCTATTCAAAGTCGCATTGCTATTTCACTACTACTTTACTGCACCTAAGCATCAGGTCTGGTCTACTTCTACAATGGGTCTAACAGGCATTCGCACGGCCATGAAGGTCGACCTCAACAAGCCTGCAGGTGAACAAAATGGCTTGCATGTATGTTTACTAGATTTTATATCCATAAATTTCAGTTAATGTGGCCTTCCCATAACTCTCGTCTCGCTAACCATGTTATATCTCTGTTATATAGAACCGCTGGCATCCAGACAGTAAGTATTAGCCAATTGATAAATGGCGTCTTTCAGGCGCATTCATGCGGGGTAGTGAAGCTAACATGCCTCCCCCACTCCAGTTCCCTCATGCGCGACGATCAAGAACGGCGAAGTCGTGAAGATCGAATGCGTCGACTGGACTGGAGGGCAGATCAAGAACGATGATTGCGCAGACGACATGCGTGATATCGACTTGACTCGCGTGCATTATCTGACAGGCCCCTTCGAAATCGAAACCGCCCAGCCTGGTGATGTGCTCCTCGTTGAAATCCAGGACGTGCAGCCATTCGAGGATCAGCCGTGGGGTTTCACCGGCGTCTTCGATGCGAAGAATGGAGGTGGCTTCTTGGATGAGCACTACCCCCATGCGTATGTAAACAATTAAGCCGATCCCCTTGAAAAAGGGTTACGATGCTAAACCCCTTTGCAGTGCAAAGGCCATCTGGGACTTTGAGGGCATTTTCTGCTCGTCCCGCCACATCCCTCACGTCCGCTTTGCGGGATTGATCCATCCGGGAATCCTAGGCTGTGCGCCTTCCGCTGAGGTTCTCGCAGAGTGGAACAGACGCGAGGGTGAACTTATCTCCACTCATACCCATTTGGATCGGGTTGTGGCGAAGCCCCCCGAGCCCATCAACGTGCACGCGGGCAGTGCAGATGGGGAAATCAAGGCGAAGGTCGGAAGAGAGGGAGCTAGAACTATTCCTGTAGGTCACTCTCTGGAGCCGAGAACATATATGTTCTGTACAGAAGATGCAACCACAGATTCTAACAATGACAACCCAACATAGGGCCGCCCCGAACACGGTGGAAACTGTGACATCAAAAACCTCAGCCGTGGCAGCAAAGTCTATCTCCCAGTGCACGTCCCCGGCGCCAAATTCTCCGTCGGCGACTTGCACTTTTCCCAGGGTGATGGCGAAATATCCTTCTGCGGCGCCATCGAGATGGCCGGCGTGATCACCATCAAGTTCAACGTGATCAAGGGCGGCATGGCACACATGGGCATGAAATCTCCCATCTTCCACCCTGGCCCCGTGGAGCCGCAGTTCGGCCCCGGCCGCTACCTGACCTTCGAGGGCTTCAGCGTGGACCATACCGGAAAGCAGCACTACCTAGATGCCACGGTTGCGTACCGCGAGACCTGCCTGCGCGTCATCGAGTATCTGCGCCGTTATGGCTATGATGACTATCAGATTTATCTGCTGTTGAGCTGTGCACCTGTGCAGGGGCATATTGCGGGGTTGGTGGATATACCCAACGCGTGCACAACGATGGGGGTGCCGATGGATATTTTCGACTTTGATATTCGTCCTGAGTCCGATGTGGTGAAGCGAGATATGGGGTCTTGTGCATTTACGAGTGATCAGATGAAGAAGTAGTTTTTTGCGCGCCGAGTAGGGGGGGCAATGAGAAATTCTCGTGTTATTTTCTTGTGCGCATTATGCGTTTGTCTGGATATCTATGTGAAGCTGGCCATCCAAGGATGAGATAATGAGTTATTAGTAAACTATTTTCTTTCCTTGTTCTGTTCCTTTTCGTTTCTCCGATTGATATGCGGTTGTTCAGAAGAAGGGGGAAGCATCGTCGATAGTTATTTTTTTAGTATGCAGAACTTGAGTTAATCACAGCTAGTAAAGCAATAGTTTTACAAGCTGCTAGACACTATTCTTTCTCCCAAGTGAAAGCAAAGAAAAGCAAACAGAACAGAAAATAAGAAATTATATACGGAGTACTCCGTACCAAATATTAAAAGTCCAACAAAAATGCTGAAGGACATGAACAGTTTAAGTTCTAATGTCATAATAAGGCGCTAATAAGTTAAATCAATGAACTTACAATTTTTTCAAATAGGTGACCACCAAATGACAAGTGGCGTTTACAACGCCCTTACCTAATATTCACCCTAACATTCCGCTCCCCAGCCCACTTCACCGCCGCAACAACCTCTTCTCGTCCCGTAGCATTGACTACGTAAACCGGATACCCGCCAATCGAGCAGCCCTTCTCTCGTGTCCGCGGGTCACCATTGACGCTAGTCCCATTCTCGAAGTTAGAGAGGCACGAATCACCAGCCCAGGTTGGGTAGTCAATACTCCTAGGGTCCTGTAAGTGGAAGCTTGACGCATGCCATTGGGCAATAATGGAGCTGCAGACAGTTGAGTCGTAGGTAGGCTGCGATTTATAGCAGGCTGGTGGAAACGGCGCGGATGAGTTTCCCATTAATGGTGTTGTTGAAGGTTTGCCACTCTCAGGGACTGGGGACTATGTGTGATATGAGTTATGATTGTCTGTGAAGGGCGTGGTTTAGATGGAAAATCCATGTACCATATGCACGTTTGTACGTGCATCTACTTACGCATTCACAGTCCAGGGGCGTTGCCTTGACTGAAGTTGAATAGAGGTAGAGAATGGCGCAAGACAGGAGACTCCGAACAAGAGACATATATTTTCCCGAAGGTCCACCTCTTATGAACATGCTGCTCCCATTCTTATCATGCTTACAGAATGCAATGATATGACTGCATTTCTCTTGCAGACAAGTGCCACAAAGCATGATTACTGCAATATTATCAATCAGCTGCTCAAGAATGTTCTATTTGTCCAGCAAAGGCATGAATAGAGCCACATCTGGGACGATTATTCATCTGTCTTCATTGACACAACTCAGTTAGTTGATTCAGCCCAATCCCTTGAAGGTACTTTGATGTCTGTTTTCCAGGGCTGAAGAAAGTCTGCATGTAGCTGACTCAATGATTTGATGCTCAACCTATGCAAGAAAGTTAATGAATTGCTGGCTTTCAAATGGCTGTTTCAACAACTGGGATATCTTTTGACAAGAAACAATCTACCTAGGCTCCACTGAAAGCATTGATTGAGACTCAGCTGTAACAACCCTTGGGCACGCTGAGTCGGATTTCGCTCCACCAAAATCTGCCATGGGATTGACCATGTTCCCCAGCTGTGTCTTTTCCTCTATGCAGGAAATAAATACTCTGTAAAGGAAGTAAGCAATGTATGATGGCGCAATGATCCAGGGCCTCAATGCAAACAAGAGCAGGAAGCAATCAAGCAGTGGTTTTGTTTGGTCTGTAATGATTCAAGTTTATACCCCTGAATCACAATAATAATAGATCATTTCCCTCATTCCCCTCCAATCCCCTTCTTGTCAAAATTCAATAGTGGCATGAGACCAGCAAATCATGCAGATTCATGAAGCTTGTGTCAATCAGCCTGTACCTGGTGTTCGCAAATAGACACGATGTCATTGTAGAGCACACTTGTTTCTTAAAATGAAGAGGCTGAATTATAATGCTTATGCTTTAAATAACCGTCTTGGTTTATTTTCAATGTCAGCAGAGTTGCACGGCAAAGGGTAGGCAACCACGATATATATACATATATATATGTATATGTCATTAGAGTCTGATATCTGGTCCTGGAGCTGGGGCATCTCTATCTCGTGGAACGCCGTGATGCTCAGGAGAGATTTCGGAGGTTCAGGCTTCCCCGCTGTAGGTGAAATTTGAGCAGTTCTCGACGCTACCTGTGTTGTCCTCCTGGGGAGAATCAGCCATCGCCGCGAGGAAGGTTCACAGTCACGGTATCTATGGCAGGTTTGTGGAAGATATAGTAGTAGCTCTGTGGAAAGGCTCGGAGGCTGGAGATAGGTGATGCAGAACTGGTATATGAGACTGGTAATTGGGTAGATAGAAAAACGAGAGTACAAAGAATAGAAAGAAGATACTTCAACACTCGCAAGTAGGCCGTAATGAACGAAGTTGGATCTATACTCACTTCCACTAGTCAGAGCCACACCATTTGCCAAGTTGCTGTGGGTTAAGGTTTCTCCGCAGATTTGGACGGGGAATTAACTAGGGCTAGTTATGATGATCGAAGGCTCACCACCCCTGGAGGAAGGGGATTGAAATGCGATTTTACGCTGTAAGGGCCGATATAGAGCTTACGGCACACCGAAAGGTTTCGGTGGCCGAAAATCTTTTAATACTATAATTAGCCATTTATAGTAGCAGCCATCAAGCACAGGATGAAAAGGGAGATAGTCAAAGGAAATAGCGGGGATTGAAACAGCCCGCTTTCTACTTATGAAAAAATCAAAATAAAAGAATAAAAGAATAAGAAAATAAAATAAATAAAATGAAAAATGAAAAATGGAAATGAAATGGAAATGAAATGGAAATGAAATGGAAAAAAAAAAAAAAAAAAAAAAAAAAAAAGGATAAACAGGAGGGGAATGTAAACCTCACGAAACGCTCTGTTTAAGCACATGATCCCCTCTATCGTCCCCTTACCCCTTCATTTTTATTTATTTATTTATTTCTCTGTCTCTCTCTCTATTATCCCGGCGTTGAAGGGTTATACATTGTAACATGTCACCGTGGATACCCTCAAATTTCTCCGAATTTCTCCGATAAAGGGGAATTGTTCAACCTTCAGCCTCCGTCCCACCTCCCACCTCCCACCATCACCATCACCATCACCATCACCATCACTTGAAAAACTTCTTCAGCATCTCCTTCTCCTTCCGCTGCTGGTCCGCAATCGCCTTCTTAACCCTTGCTCTCTCATTCGCAATTGCGACATCGCCCGGCGCCAACTTCGCCGCCTCCGCCAAATCCTTCAACGCCTCCTCGTCATCCTTCAACCCTACCAAGGCGACAGCTCGCCGGTAATACGCCTTGGCCTTTTCCGCATCCTTTGCATTGGCAGCCTTGGCGGTCTCCAGCGCAAAACCGGCCCATGATCGCCCGTCCTCAAAGCGCCGGAGCTTATTCGCTAGCAGCGCGGAGTTGGAGTGTAATGTGAATCGCAACTGGGTCATTTGCGCGGCGAGTTCGGGCGGGTCCGAGTCTGATGCCTCTGGGTATTCGTTCAGATATCGAAGGCCCTTCTGGTATTTATCTAGGCCTAGGTCAACGTTGCCTGCCTTGAAGGCTTTGTTGCCGTATTCTTTCAGGTCAGAGGCGATTTTGTAATATTCTTCGCCGGAAAATTCCTTCCCTGCATCCTCCGGGTAGTCCTCATACTTGTCACCGGTTTCGTCGACGGTTGACTGGGTGGCGGTGTCGTAGCTTTCGCCGGTCAGTTCGCCGCAGTCCACAACTTTAACTTCGGTGTGTGGCTTGTCGCCCGAGTCTGTGGGGGACATTTCAATCTTGCGCACCAGCCCTTTACCGTTGATGACTTCGCCAAAAACCACGTGCTTGCCATCTAAGTGTGGGGTGGAGACGGTGGTGATGAAGAACTGGCTCCCGTTCGTACCCGGGCCGGAATTAGCCATAGAAAGCAGGAAGGGGCGGTCATGTTTGAGCTCGAAGTTTTCGTCGGAGAATTTCTCGCCGTAGATCGATTCTCCGCCAGTGCCATTGAATGCGGTAAAGTCACCACCTTGAATCATGAATTGTTTGATGATACGGTGGAAAATGGAACCTGAAGCACATACACATCAGAGGTATAGAATTATTTAGCTATATGCTAACCAATGCATTCCACACGCCTGCGTAACAAGCGTGTCTCGTTTCCTTAGAAATAATACGTACCCTTGTAGCTGAGCGGTTTCCCCGACTTCCCCTCACCCTTCTCGCCGGTACAGAGCGCACGGAAGTTTTCAGCGGTTTTGGGGACAACTGTTCGCAGAAACATTAGCAATCGTATATCGAAAGCAGTGGTGGGTAATTATAATCATGGTGTACCATCATTAAACTAGCGATTTAGCGCAGTCAGCCTCCCATCCTCTTCCCTCAATGATGAGTCGAAATTGAATTCCAAGAAACACTTACTAGCTCAAAGACAATGCGGCCCTCAGCTCTCTTTCCTATCTGGATATCAAAGTAGACGCGCGGGCGACCTGCAATTCGGGACCTTATCAGCGGCTGGCCAGAACTATAGGCAGCTGGACAGTAGCGGGGGGCAGGCAGCTGCGGGGGCGGGGAAAGTACCTGAAGTTTCGGCCATGGTGAAGGTGTAAAGCTGGAGCTGTAGAAAGGAGACTCACGGATAGCAGATAACAGTAGCGAGTGGGAATACAGAGATCAAGGTGAAGCCTGAAGTATGAAAAGGGAAATTGGAAGTTCGCGAATTGTCCGTCGTTGGGTTGAGTGTTGTTTGTTCGAAATGCGCGAGACTTGTAGAAGCTTCCATGCGCAGACAAACAGTGCAAACTCCCCACCAGCGAGAAAATAGCACTGTGCAATTATATCGAATCATGTTTAGATAGATCCTCTCTATATGGTATAATACGCGAGTGTAGATACATGTTACCCTGCAAAATAATCGTCTTCAGTCCTTTTATTCTAGCAACGACGTCGGAAGCTTGAGTTCGTAGTTCTGTCCCCCATCTGCGCCCTTCTTCCCCACCCCGTCTTGCTCAGATTGCCGCGTATTTGAATCACTCGACTGGCCGTTACCATTACCATTCCCATTCCCGTTCCCATTTCCGGGTTTCTTCTGTTCCTTCTTAGGCAACGTGGTATCAATCTGAATCGTAACCTACACCGGCAAAAGACACACCTCCAAGTCAGCCCTGTTACCACCAAAAAAAGAGCGGGATCAGCGGAACTAGGAGGGAAAAAAGTGTTATAGCTATACCGCGCCGTCTTTACTGCGGTAATCCACACCCACCGGTCCATCGTTGACGAGTCCCACTTCCATCATCGCCTGGAAGACGCCGTTCTTAACGCGCTCGACATTGTAGAGCTCCCGTACTTTGTTGTAGAAATGCTCATACAATTCCTTAGCCTTGGTCGCATCTGCGGCGTTGTGGAAGTCTGGTTTGTTGCCCTTTTTGATCTGGGCAAGGAGTGTGAACTGGGACACTGTAAGGAACAAACAAAAGAAGACGAAAATAAATTCATTATCAGTAAAGTGCTCATGTTGGCTCTCCTTGTCTTCTCGGAACTCAGTGTCCTCTGGTTTCCATACCGCATAGGACCTCTCCCTGTATATCTTGAACGCTCTTCTTCCACTATATGCAAGATGCGGTTAGAGCTTTGATCTATAAACCCGTCGAACGAGACTCCGGTATTAAATAAACATACCGTCCCGCCCGCCTCATCTGGCCATATCTTTAGCTTGAGAACCTTTGCCGCAAGGGACTCTGCATCTTTGTGGGTATCATCTGGGCCGACAGCGGCAAACACTAGGATTCCTCTGCCAATGGAGGAAACGAGCTTCTTATCGACAGTGACTGAGGCGGAGGTGACTCGTTGTAGAACAGCTAAAATAGCATCGTTAAATTTTAGCTATCGTAGGGAGCGCTGGCAATATACCTTTCATGATGGAATATTTTGATATCGAGGTTAAAAACGACGTTCAAAACGTTAATGGTTCACATGGATATAGGTATTGTTAGGGTGGCGGTGTCACGACGGGACGCTAGGGCGGAAACGCTCTCTGATGGACATTGAAGCTTCACAGGGCGGGCGGACATTAAACAAGATATATTGCCCAGATCCCCGTAGCCGTAATAAGCAGTAGGAATAAAAATATAGAAATAATACCTAGCACCGCCCATCCCATCCTAAAGTTCCACGATCTGATCTGCTGCTAGCGCCATCCGAGCACAAGTCTTGGCACATCTTCCCAGCTTGGGCTTCATCCATCCATCCAGCAACTTCAGGCAAGGTCTCAAGGTCACCGTTGCGCAGGCTCTGAACACTCCATTCACCCGCCGTGGTACATCACTATACTCCCCCTTTTTCCCATATCTACGCCGTTCATACCACGCCCTCACTGCTTGCATCGGGGTAAAACTTCCTATCCACTTCTCATCGATCTCCGCCGTTCCGCCTCCGCCTTTCCCATTACTGACTGACCTGGTCCAAGGGCAGCTCCCGTCTATGAAGCAACCATGACGTCGCGAAAAACACAGCAGGAAATTGACAAAACCTTCAAGAAGGTAGCTGAGGGCATACAGTCATTTGAGGGAATATACGACAAGATTAAATCATCGTCAAACGCTGCACAAAGAGACAAGTTAGAAGACAACCTGAAACGTGAAATCAAGAAGCTTCAACGGTTCCGCGATCAGATTAAAACATGGGCTGCAGGAAACGAAGTCAAGGACAAAGGCCCTTTGCTAGAGCAGCGGAGGGCCATTGAAACCGTGCGCCTCCCTACCCTCCATCTCTGGCCATGATTCCACAATATGCTCCCATACTCCCCCGGTCGGATATTTTAAGGGCTAGCTAACTAGAGAACAACAGTGCATGGAACAATTCAAAGCTGTTGAAAAGGAGATGAAGACTAAGGCCTATTCAAAAGAAGGCCTATCAGCAGCAGCTCGATTAGACCCCAAGGAAAAGGAGAAAGCTGAAACATGCGACTTCCTCTCGTCAACCGTCGATACCCTTCAACAGAAGATTGAGGCCATGGAGGCCGAGGAGGAGATGATACAGGCCTCGTTAAAGAAGGGAAAGAAGGATACTGCAAAGACTACCCGGCTATCTGATATTACGAGGATCCTAGAGCGGCATCGGTGGCATGTGACCAAACTAGAACTACTCCTACGGTGTCTGCAAAATGGAAATGTTGAGACAAGCCAAGTGCTCGACATCAAGGATAGCATCAAATATTTTGCAGATGATGGCCATAATGCGGATTTCTGCGGAGAAGACGAGACGATATACGACGACATAACGCTAGGGGATGACGAGTTTGGCATACCCACTGATAATGACCGGGTCTCATCACAGGATACTCAGTCGATACAGGATGATGATGCGGAAACTGCGAGGTCGAAGACGAAAACAGATCCTGGGCCCGCGCGAAGGCCATCGACGCAGATGAAGTCTCCGCTCCCAGTTTTGGCTACTCTTCACAACGGACCCTCGTCTGTCGCTTCCAGTTCCATGAAGCCCGCTCCTCTACCGACACGATTACCAGGAGAAACACTGAAATACGCCTCTGCGGCTGCTGCGGCCGCGGCTAGTGACAAGAGTGGCGTTGGGATAGCTCCTCTACCACCCCCACCTGGAACAACATCTTCAACTGCCTCGCCGCAAGTACATCATGCACAACCTGTGCAAACGCTGGCATCTGCCGCTCCCAGTGTGGATGGTTCAGCTAGCCAACAACAAGCCAAATCTCCAACGTTAAGTCCTAGTATTCCCACGAGTAGGCCTTCAACGGTTCCGCCAACACCAGCAACGGATAATGTAGAGACCGTGCCTCAAGAAGAGCATATAGTGACAACAACAAATGGCGAGCCGAGGGAAGCTGCCGCTCCTGCTGCCGCTCCTACTCCCGCACCCGCGGCTAGTCCCACTCCGGCCCAAAATGACGAGTCCGTCTACCACCTACCGCCCGGCCTTCAAGACCTAATTCAATCCTTCGAAATCACCAAATCCAGAGTATCCGTCAACCCGTCGACATCGGTTCAACGACTCCTAACAGCGTCGCACCACACCTGCCCAGAGCCCGGCGATGCGGAGAAGCCACGCCACTACAAGCCGCAAACACCCTACAACACCCCTCTCTACTACCCGCAGGAAGCGCTTCCAATATTCGATGACCCACGATTATATGAGACGGGCCGCATCGATACAGATACGCTATTCTATATATTCTACTATCGGCAGGCGACTTATCAGCAGTATTTAGCGGCGAAGTCATTGAAGAATCAGAGCTGGCGGTTCCATAAGCAGTACCAAACGTGGTTTCAGCGGCATGAGGAGCCGAAAACAATTACTGAGGAGTTTGAGCAAGGAACGTATCGGTTCTTTGATTATGAGAGTACATGGTGCGTTTTTTCATCTTTCCGCTTCACAAGCAACAACTGCCTTTAAAAGAACCATAGCTAACCAGTTTGTTCTTGGAAAATACAGGATGAACCGTCGAAAAGCTGACTTCAAGTTCGTCTACAAGTTCCTCGAAGACGACCTGTAAATGACAGAAAACCAAGAAGAAATAGGGAAACAAGGACGACATCCTTTGTTTTAGCGGAATATTTAGGTTTTATGCAAAGGCCCAGGCACCTAAATATTGTTGTACTCTTCTAAACCAGAACTTTGGCGTACATACAACACCCAGTTGAATGAACTTGACTCTGTTTCTCAACCTCCTTGCCCTTTCCGTCCCATCATCCGTTCATTCAACCACCCCTATACACGACATTCTCACAATACACACGCACACACCACATGCGCACACAGCACCCACGCTCCCTCTCTTCCCCCCCCCCCCCCTCCCACCATCTTCATCTCTCTTTGTACTTTCAACCTCACCCCCTGCTTTTGCTTCTACGTCTTCTGCTTTTCGTTTGGGTTCTCTGTTTTCTCTTTCTCAGCAAACGGCCTTGTGGTTGTGGGTGGTGTTTGGAAAGGGCACGAATGTGTTTTTCTTTTTCACTACTAACCTTACTTACTGCTGGAAAGCAATTGCTATGCAGGTTGGGTTAGGCTTAGGCTAGGCTAGGCTAGGTTTTTTTTAGGCTGTGCCGGGCGGCCAGGCTGGGGTTCCGCGTTTTTGCTCCACTTGTTGCTATTTCTGTTCTGCCTTTTTCTTTTTCTCCCCCGTTTCGTATCTCGGTTATGTGACTGGGTAGGTTAATTTTTTTAAGTACATTAATCGATCGTGGGATGTGGGATCTTCTATTCTACTTTTTTTTCTTTGCTTGCGGATGGATGGATTGGATTATCCGGTCTCCCAGGTGGTGTGTGCATTATGAAGCTAGCGAGAAATGAGAGAGGAGAAGAGAGAGGAGAAAAGAGAATACAATTGTTCACCCCTTCTCCCAAGTGGTGTTTATGCATGTTACGGCTGCTTATACCGTGGGATCAGCTACGCTGCTGATACACGAACACACACTTGTCTTCTCCTCTTTACGAGGTTAGGTATAATAATAAGTATGTATATCTCTATATTACACATACTACTATCCGCCTGCACAATACTATGTGCAAGAAGCAAGGTCGAGTCCGTCACCCACTAACCTCCGATTCTATTTTACCAAATGGGTAAGGCGAGAGGGTTTTCCTCATCCGTCTTCGCGAGTTCTAATTATGTCGGCGGACATTAACAGAGATTGCGTTTCCCCCGCCTGGAGGGTTGGCTGGTTATACCTACTCATGGAATCAAAACAGTTATTCTAATCCTATACCTATCAGTCCAACAACCCCATTCAGCTCGCTTCCTCATTCATTTATTTATTTCCCGTTGTACGAAACTATACTGCACACACCTTAACCATGCTCAATCAGCCTCCTCCGTCCAGCCCAATGTATTTGCTGTGTTGTACATACATTGGCAAATACATGTGCATGAGCATTGTAATGTATGTGCAGTACATCCTGAACATATAATAATAGCATTTATACACGTGTAGAACCGGGTGGGTGCATACATAATAGAATGCCTCTGGTGGATGTAACGTGTGTTCAAGGGTATACATAAATATACGTAAAGCACATGTTGCATGCATCCCTGGGGATGTAAATATCAGCGTACAGAGCCGACCTTAACAGCTGAGAATTCGGGGCACGCTTTGCTATGCGGGATGGATTCAGGGATTCTTTTACTTCAAACGCTTCTCTTGAGAAATGGATTACATACATATAGTAATGCCAGGATAGTACATATATCGGTGTAACGAATTCAGATTCAGATTCATATATCTGCATAATTCTTCGTAATTACAAATCAAGATTCAGTAGGTAGATTGCTCCTTTTCACAGGAAAATAAGATGGAACTGGAAGGTTGTGTGAACAAAAGAGAAAACGAGGCATGCAGGCAGGGCTACGCTTCATTATATATATACGTTGTACATACATTTTGTATTTCTATATTTGTAATGAATGCCCCGCTTCACTTTATTTTTGTGCTGATTGTAGCAGAGTGGGATAAAAAATAAGGCTACGGGAAGGTTGTGGGTAACTATCACTTATAACTTTCGGGGTTAACTTAACCTCAGGAGCGCAGAAGATGGATTTCAGCCTGCGTTTGCCATCTTTTAGAATATCATGTTTTTGAGCTTTTGGGGTGAGGGCTCGATCGATGGATGGCTCTTTGCGCCGTTGGGTTTTATTTTTTGGTTTTATTTTTATTTATTTTTTTATTTATTTTGGTATTTTTCTTCTCGTTTCGATGCGTTGCTTTCGTTTCTGCTGTAACTATCTCATTGCATAATAGACTTCTAACGCAATGCAAGTTCAATGAATTGATTATACAGAGGGGAGGAAGCGAGCTGGCAGAAGAACCTGAAGTTAACCACGTTGACAGCAGAACAGGAACAACGAGGCAAGGCAGATTTCAAAAGTGGTCGGTAGGGCAGGCAGTTCTAGACGTCTGCGTAACGATAAAAGATATATATCAACTATTTCACATGTTTGCGAAGAACGGGGGCAATTGCTAGTCTTTCTGTTGATCATATTTAGGATAGGTATATATAGTATGTATTATGCCATGTCGTTTCCCTTTGCTTTCGGACTTTCGTGGGACGAGTTCATTAGTAGCTTCATTGTTCTGGTCTCGCTTAAGTGTTTATTATTATTATTATTATTATTTTAACTCGCACGATAGACAGGCATTTGTACAGCAAATTTGCATGTCCAGCACCGGCTCGCTACGCTGCCCTCAAGGCTGTTTCTCTTTGATACCCAATAAGATAATTTTTGGTTCAAAATGAACTACACATAACAGTCCACATAAGAGAAGAACATCTGGAAGGTCCCAGCCGGAAGGGTCCGCGGTTAGCGTACATAATGCGATTTGGTCTTTGAAACCTTCCCAAGGAAAAAGGTATTAGGAAGTCTGAAGCGCAATATGCAGGACATCTGTAAGGTACGAACATTCTCCCAGGCTGGAATCAAATAACTTCGACATAGCCTCCCCTCAACACCCAGTCGGAGGAGGACACCCTAGTTGATTTAGCCCCCCGGCAAGTACCCTGAAGAAGAACGGGAGTTGATGGTTAAATCGAGGAAATTCCCCTTCTTTTTTTCCTTTACATGCTCCTATCAGCGGATTAATGGATATACAGCATGCATTCAAAAACTCATAGAGGGCCTGCGTGTTTCAAGAAATCGCAGCATACGTAGTAAGTTGGTGCATGTTTGCATTTGGAGGGCTGTCTCATCGGGAGAAATTTGCATGCATAACTCAGTCACGTACCGACAAAGTGTGGCACATACATAACTACGTAGTTATGTACGTACGTACGTATGGATGGATGGATGGGCGTCCAGCACAGGATAGTGGAACTAGTTTGAATAGTGATAGCTAGCAGCTTATCCACGTCGGCATGCGGTTGAAACTTGAGCCTGGGGCTCGAACATCTCGAGGCTGGCATGGTGGGATTAGTGGGTGAAGAGTTCATCTACCGCCTCACTTTTCTGTCAGTTGGGAGTGTCTGCGATGTATTTGGCATAGTCGGCCGACACAAGAAACGGGCAGCAGTGCCATGCTAGTTGTTTGCTTCCTCCTGGGGGAGGTGTTGTGGGTGCTGTGTGTAAGGAGTAGTTGTAGCAGGAGTAGTCAGATAGTTGTTCGCTGGTTGTTTGTTTGGTGACGTCGATGTGAGGCTGGGATGGAACACCGCTGCTGCTGAGGGCGCTAAGCCCAAACAGGGGTGGCTGACTAAGCTGCGGCTGCCCAACGCTCTTCTTCTCTCTTCCGCAGACCCAACCACGTCCAACCACAACATCCAACCTAAACCTCCATCCGACCAATGCTGCGTCAAGCCTGGCGGTTTCTCCCCCGTCCAGCGCATCCAACCACTCCCGCGGCGCCACGACTGATTGGTGCCACACTTCAGGCTATTAGTCTTTCTATCCCCGCCGGTGTTGTCACAGCGCGCTGAGGGCTACCCAGCTTGGGGCTGGTGAAGGAAGAGTCTCCCCCACCTTCTTCAGGAACAAGCCACGCTCATCCCTCTCAGTTCTCTCTAACCCACAGCAGTAAAATGATGTTTCATTCTGCTCCAAATTACATGAAACAATCCGCGAAGATGGGTCCTGACCCCTTGCATCGTCCATGTCGTCATTCTAGCTTCCTTATTTTCTCCGGAAGGGCAGCCAATTGGCCAAGTTGGTCCACCCAACTGTCAATAGGCATAGCAAAGCTTAGGAACTCAAAACAACCCGTCGTGGACAGAACAGCCTAATCACCAGGGCGAATATTGGTGTAAAAAGGCTTCTAAGCACCTAACTAGGTTCCCTTTGGCACTAGTTCAACCACTTTTCGGCCCGTTCCGAGAGCCTGGTCGCTTTTCTCCAAAACTCGTATCTCCCTTTTTGTCACTCTTCAGAAAGGAAGAAAAAAAATGAGGCGAGTTGACAGGGTTGCCCCTCAGATGTTGGACAAAAATAGCAAACAGACCATGAACACTGTCTTGCTGCCTTCCTTCTGCCATTTTCCCTACCTGGAATGGTGTGCTATGCTTAGTTGCTATTACTATTATTATTACTATTAGCATTATTATTATTATTATTATTATTATTATTTCGTCGATAATAATGCTGCGCAGTACAAGCTGCGGAATTGCATGTTCTGGCACCCACTTTGGCGACCCAACTAGGCCTTTGTCAGGTAAGAGTAATATCTCCGACTCGATCTTGACCGCTTGGGCTGGTGGCCTTCCGTCATTGGGTATTTCGCATAGTTTACTCTGTCTTTTTTTTGCTTTTTCTCTTTCTCTTCCTTTTTCTTTTTTTCAAATTACAATTCTGCTCTCCAAGTCGATGATGAATGGAATGTCCAATCGAAGGGGTCCGTGTTTCGAAAATCCTCCACGTGGAGGTTGTTTTCAAGCACCGAGTCCAAGTGGCAGTTTTACTCGTCCTGCGTCATCGTTTATTGATAGTATCTTCTAAGACCTGTCTCCCTCGAGAACTTTTCGGTGTGCACGGTTCAGATTGCTCGCATCACTTTTACACTCATACCACATTCAAAAGTTAGCCTCCCCCCCCCCCACGCATTCTACCTGGCGATTGGTGGCTCGGTTCCTACCTCTGATCATCAGGGTCCTGGCCTGTGTCCCAATGTCACGTGTTGGACCATACGAGGCATGGCCATATTTAAGCCCTACTTGGAGAAACCGAGATGGATGCTCTCGAGCAGACATACTTGCAGCATTGGAAAAGGGTATATATATGTCCTCCCGGGGTTGTCATTTCTTCCCGTGTGTTCAAGTCAGTTTCAACAACAACTTAAACCTATATCATATATATACTCATATTCGCCATCTTTGCTTTGCAACCTCCTCCTCCCTTACCCTCATAACCTCTCACGAAGCAAACCAATCACTCCCCTATCCGTACACACGGTCTTTCTTTTGTTTAGAATCTGGCATTCTTCTCAAAAGCTACAACCGCTACCATGGCTCATAGTCGCAAACACCAACAGCCCCAATACACTTCCGTGAGTCGCGAATTGCCTATCACAGGCTATCCAAACCCATATCTGACCGAATCCGTGACCGCCCAGTATCATACGCCTCGCTCACAATACCCATTGCCGACCTCTGTCGCACCGGCCATGAGCTACTCCTCGTCAACGGACAGCAACAGTTCCACGAGGACGGCATCAAGCATGATCTCAACGAGTAGCGGACATCAGCAACAAACGGCATATTACAGCTCTCATTATCCCACAACGTCGGCTGGTTTCACAGACCCAATCTATCAACAACAACAACAACAACAACAACGGCAGGCATCCGCTAGCTACACGACTAGCCCGGAGTATGTACTGGTCACAGAGGAGGCTGCAACGACACCGTCAAGGCCAGCAAGGGCTGCGGGTCTAGAAAGGTATGCTTGACAACTCTATCATACAAAATATCACAATAGATTATGTATAATATATATATATATATCAAAAGACAAATCCCCGCACCTATCGCCCCTACAAAATAAAAACCTACCCCCAAAAACTAAAAACATGCCTCCCTCACACCACAGATCCGGCAGCAGATACGTCTGCATGTTCCCGCGCTGCGAAAGCAGTTTCAGTCGCTCCGCAGATCTCAGCCGCCACTACCCCACCGTCCACTTCCCGGACTCTGTCAGACTCGACTGCCCCAAGCCCAGATGCTCGCGAAAGGGTGAGCAGGGCTTCACGCGCCAGGACCATCTCAACGAGCATCTGCGCCAGTACCACAAGGAGCCCGTCACTAAGCGGAGATCTTCGAAATCTTCCTCGCAGCGCCCGGAGACATATCGCTAGATGATCTAGTTCCCGCGTGTTTCTGTTTTCCCATACTCGATCGATGGGACGGCGGATATATCACCCTGCCGTGACCCTCCTAATATGCCCTAATAATTTTCCCGGCATATTTTTTTCTCACATGTCGTTTTCCGATATTATAATATTTTCTTTTCCTGTCACTTGCTGGTCTGGAGCTGGTTCTCGAAAGCCTACAAATGCGGGGAAAGAAAGCCAGACGGTGAATGAATGATACGCTACTCGCTCATTTTTTGTCTGGGCGATTATGCTTAACGGTCCCACCGCCGACTGCGCTTCTTTTGAATTTCCTTTGTCTTCTTCTCTTCTATCGTTTATATTCTGCCTTGTCAGTTATTATTGCTATACTTAATATTTTCTTTTTCCTGTTGTTCTCTCTTGGATTGTTTCCTCTTGCCTTTATCTGCATTCTGTTTATTCTTCCTTTTGAAATTTTTACATATTTTCCCAAATGCTTTACACAGCGAGCATCAGATTGGAAATGGAACGGTGTTATCTATCTCTATTTCATGAGCGGAGGGTTCTATTGGATTTTCACACAGGATTTTTTTTTTCCTTTCTCACTGTATGATATATTCTTGATATATTCTATTTTTGCCTCAATTTATTTTCCATTCTTGTTGTCTCTTTGCTGCCTTTGAAGCGTCTGCGTTTTCCTGTAACTATATGTTTACTACTTCAAGTATCACTACATATCTTTATTCTCTGAGTTTTACTTTTATTACTTTCTGCTGCTATGTCTGTTACTGTATTTATGTATAATTTTGTAATGCAGAATTCTCAAAGCATTCTATTGTAGTTATGTGTCTCTCTTACTCTATCTAATTCTTGAAGTTGATTTTAGGTAGATCAGATCATAGTTAAGGTTTTATTCCTGTTTGCAGGATGTCTTTTCTAGGGTTATCTTCTGTTCTAATGATTTATCACGTGCTAAACTTTTCTTCGTGCTTGCATTTCCCCATTTCCCGTAAGTTACATAACTAAATCTACATCTGGGGTGGTTAATTACAGGATTTGAAACGTGAATCCATACTAGATTATACTGATAAATATGAATATAATATAATAGCAAATGAGTAGCTTAACACCAATCCAATTTGCTCAAAAACGGGGTTGAAAATGCTCTCTCTCCTCCTTATCTCAATCGTCATATGACAAAACGGGGGATGAAGAGAGGATCTTGCCCACAACTGTAAATCGATATTCACAAATCCCTTCTTCTCTACCCTTTCTATCTTCATTACACGAACTAAACCTAAGAACACCCCCCCCTTCCTCCTCCTCCTCTTCCAAAAAAACTCACTCACTTAACCTCCCAAAACCCCTCAAAACACTCCCCCCGCACCCTCCCTTTCTCATCAAAAACCACCCCCTCCCCCGTCAACAGGCCCGTCTTCTCCGTCGCATAATCGCCCCCATTGCCCCACTTCCCCTTGTAGCCGCCCACAGTGCGATCCGAGGCCAGCACGCGGTGGCACGGCACGGCGGGGGCAAAGGGGTTGGTGCGCATGGCGTTGCCGATGGCGCGCGGGGAGGAGGAGAGGTGGGCTGCTAGCGCGGCGTAGGTGGTCCAGCGGCCGCGGGGGACGGAGAGGAGGGTGCGGTAGACTTTGCGTTGGTGTGGGGTTAGGGAGGGGTGGGTGGAGAGGGTTTTGAGAGTTTGCGGGAGGGTGGGGTCTGAAGGGAGGGGGGAGGGGGTTGCGTTTGTGTTTGAGGGGGCTGTTTTTGATTTGGTGGTGAGTTTGGTTTGAGTGGGTGTGGACTTCTTTTGGGTCGTTGTCCATTTGATCGAGTTGGTTGCGCGGGATGAGCGTTTTCTGCTTGACATAGCGGAGGCGGTGAGGGTGGTGGAGCTTCGGGAGCGCATGGTTGCCCCTTTTGTTGTTCTTCGAACGGAAATTGTTCTGTCGTTTTAATATGTGCAGGTAGAACAAATTTTCTCCGGTGGGTATGTATATATTTAACCCTATATATACGCTAGGCGTGATCGTGATATAAGATCGCGCGAGCTCAGCCTCCTATAGATCGAGGAGGGTGTATCATCGTTATGCCAATGCCGATACTTTATGTAGCCAAGTCAGTCCTGACGAAATATATATTAGTCTCAACACCATAATCCAGCACAAGATGCCCTTCCATACCTGGTGTTCTTCACAGAATATTTCCCTCCGCCACACTCTCAGAATCATCACTGTGTTTCTTTCTCCTCCTCCGCTTTCTCGTGCGGGCGACGCGATCTATATAACCGACGCTTTGGCTGAACATCAACCCGCGGATACGAGGTCGCGTCATCACGTGGTAGTTATAGTACTTGCAGCCAATCACATGCAGTTGTTAAATTGATTTTTTGCACCGAATATAGCCAATCAGAGGACTGGCGGAGAAATATATTCCCGGTCCGGTTGACAAGCAACACCGACTGATCGACGTCACAACAACCGCGTCTGTATACTACGGACATGGAGGAACTGCTGTTTGCTCTCGGGTTATGTTATATGCTATGAGCTATGGTAGTTAGTAACTGCAATGGAAACAACCTTGGTCACTATGTGACATCTCGTCTAGGGCTCCAGCTCCTCCATGAATGAGGCCTCCTCCTACGAAAGATAGAGCTCCAAGGCATCAGAAGACGGGCGGCGCACAATGTTTGACAAAGTGCTCTGTGTGTTAATTTCCCCACTCTTATGCTGCCATTGGAACTGCCAGTGAGGAGCGCTTGTGCGTAGCATGAAGTTGCGCCTGGAAGGGCTGGAAATGATGTCCAGCGCCGATTACCCCCTGAATCGATTACCAGAAGGCGCATGCCACCTCATAGAGAGTCGAGCTTGGATATCCTGCTCTCTACATGCTCATATATCTCTTCTAGGGCAATTCTTTGAATGTCAGACTTTTTACCTGATGCCGCGCTCGCCTCCTGGTCTGTGGTTTTGGCCACCTACAGGCTTAGTTTTCTCCTTGGTTGCTGGTGTTTTGCCTGCACATATGCTGAAGTCAGTTTGCCTTGCATCTTATGTCCTACCCGCTGTACTGAACATGACCAACCCATCGAGGTATTGTGTGGCAGATCTTCTAGTCCACAGCGTACGCATTGTGCATTCTCCACACGCGGGGAATGTTTCTTCTCCTGTATTTGCCCAGTCTAATATTTGATTTGTGTTTCTGGGCCATCATTCTCCCGATACTGCACTGAACATGGGGAGTTTTGAGCCAACAGTAACTTTACAGATGCTACCATTAATTTCAATGCATCAGATTGACAGTTTGGTCACTTTATCTAGTCAAGGAGCTACGCAGGCGGCAGGCTGCGAATTGGTCACAGCCACATATTAAGCAATAATTCTTCGTAGTGGATCGTTTCTCTACTTTCTACCCCAACCCAACCACGAAGAGTCCCCAGAAAACCAAGAGTAAAAAGGGGCCCCCCCCGCACATAGCACCTATCACGACCTAACTTACCTCCCTCACCCCAACGCCACCAATCATCCCATTCGACTCCACACTCCCCTCCTCCCTCAACTTCTCCGCCGCTTCCACCCCAGCCACGGGAACCTTGTATTCAAGCACCTTACCTTTCCCGGGCGCCGCCCGGTCATCCGCCAACGGATACGGGAATGGTAGGTACTCCGGCAGCAGGCCTAGTTGGCGCAGAAGCCCGGCTTGGTCCCACCAGATGTGCTCGTGGTAGAGGCGGTCGCCGCGCACGTTGACGATGGAGACCATGGGGAGGCGGACGGGTTTGTGTGTTGGGGGGATGGCGGGGATGCTTGTGGTGTTTTTAGTGAGGAATACAAAAATAGAGAGAAAATGGGGAGAAGGGAGGGAACCCGGGGGGGGGGGGGGGGGGAGAAAAATGGGGGGGGGGGAAGAATATGAATGGTTGCTTACAGCCAATCGATCATCTTGTCATGCGTGAAGCTGAAGATGAACTCGTCGACGACGCGGTCGATACCGACGGTGCGGCTGATCAGTTCGAGGTGGGTGTCGTCTGGGTTATTGAAGATGAAGTGGTGGCGGTAGAAGGTGGTGAGGCGGTCGCGGCCGATACCGCCTGTCATCTATATTATTGCAACCGCTTTGTGTTAGAGAGGTTCTTTTTCTTTTTCCTCGTTTCATAAATTAGGGGATAATTCTAGATCTAGATCTATTTCTCTGGCAAAAACAGAAAAAGATCTCAACTCACTGTCGGAACATGATTAACATACGGCTCCTGAACCATCGTCGCCATCGTTTTAGCGACAGACCGGTCGCCGAATTCAAAGTACGTGTGCTCATCCCAGATCGCTTCGAGGTCGAAGAGCGGGCCGCCAAGCTTGCTCTTTAAGAACGACAGGGTCCGCGTGTGGGCTACCGCCGCTGCTGAGGGGATGAAGTCAGCGTGCTGGGGGATGACGAAGTTGGGGGATTTTGCATCTGGGTATTTGTGGATGGCTACTAGATTATCTTTCTGTGTGGCGGTGGTGGTGGTGGTAGTCGTGGTGCCTCTGTCTTTGCCGGGAAGATGGAGTAATAGTGGTTTTGCCGCTTGGGTCAAACTCGTAACAACATCCGCGCCATACGCGACTATCCCGGCGATTTCTGGGATAGTTGAGAACGCAGCGATATCTTCATTGCTGATGATGTTCGCGTCGTATACTGTATTATTTTATATTTCAATTAGATTTTTTTTTTTTTTTTTTAAAAAAGGGGGATGCATCATAATAATAGCAAATCAAAAACTATGTATGTTCTCCGCTCACCAATTACCCCAAACCTATCCTTAACATCACACTCCGCCAACCCCTTCAACGCCTCCAGACCCAGCTGTATAGAACCAAGAGCAGAAAATCCAGATGTATCTGCATCCGCGTCCGCTGGCACCGTCATTGGCACCCGCACCTCCACGACCGCATACCCTTCCTCCGCCCATTTCTGGGGAGGTGGGGGATCCAGCGTTTCCGTGGTTTTATCCAGGGCTATATTACTTGGAAGCAACAGGAAGAGTCCCGGCCCATGCCCACGGCGCGATAGCGGGGGCTGGAGAGTCACATTCTGGCGGAGAGGTTGTGGAGGGGCGGAGGGGAGGAAGACAGGGGGTTCTTGGGGGTCCATTTGTTTGTATTTATTTTTTGGTGAGTGGTTATTTTTCTGGAAATGGCTGGTGTAGTTCTTTCTACAGGCATTGATTGATCAGGTTTGTAAGGATTAACTTAGTTATGAAGATAATAAATAAATAGTCTTGTCGCTCTTCCTTACCCCACATCAAGGTCTTCGGCATCCCAGCTTACTTAGTTCTAGGCGGCATCATGCCTGGCTAGCTAGCCTTCAAGGGCCTCGGGATAGACAGTTAAACCAACAAACTACCTTAACTAGAATCTCGAATCGTAGCAATGCAATTGACCGTTGATGTGAATAAGCTATATATACCTCACCCAAAGACAGAATATAAAATAGTAAATAAAACTGAAATGAAATGAGGTCGTTCTTTATATTTTAGAAAACATAAAAAAAATAAAACCAACCAAGAGCCGAACGCGGGGATCGAACCCGCAGCCTTGCGGTCACACGCTGTTGTGACTGACATAAGAGCCGCACGCTCTACCGATTGAGCTAGCCCGGCTGCTGCTGCTGGCGAGGAAGCGCAGTCCGGCGCGTTTTGTTTTTGCTGCAAATATTAATATTGAATAAATAAATAATATTGTGCGCGCGGTAACTCAAGCCCTAACAAAAAGTGGAACTGCGGACTTTATATAATAATATAGTTGGTTAATGTTGCTAGTAAGGTTTTTTTTTATTTTCAAGCGCCGGTTCCTGGCTTGGCTCCAACCGTGGCGCAGGTCCTAGCGTCGAGCTTATTTGGAGCGCATTAATAGAATATCAATTATTAATAATAGATAGAGGAGGTTGGTTGGTACTGTAGTTAATAATTATTAATAATGATCCCAACTCCTTACTCTAGAGCACACGCAAATGAAAATGGATGCAATGAACACTACTGACACCCCCCCAAGCGCCTTCAACTACATCCTCAGCTTCCTCCTCGTCGGCGTCGCGTGGGGTTTTACAACACCCTTCATCCGGCGCGCTGCGGTCGATTTCAATGCGCGCAACGAGCAGAAAACAGCACAGCAGCAGACGGCGGGGGAGGATGTCGCCCCTAGCTCTAGCTCTGGTTCATGGGTGACGAGAAAGGTTCTCTCGCTGTGCCGGACTGTTGTGAATCTCCTGCAGATGCCGGGGTATACGGTGCCGCTGCTGATGAATCTGACGGGGAGTGTGTGGTTTTTTCTGTTGGTTGGGAGGCATGGTATGTATTAATTCCGTTGCTTACATTCAATATATATATATATATATATATTACCTTGGATAAACAAACGACATCCCCCGCCCTAGCTGACCTTTCTACTCTGTTCACAGAACTAAGTCTCACCGTCCCCATCACAAACTCAATGGCCTTCCTCTTCACCGTGCTTGGCGAGTGGTATGTTGAAGGCAAGGTGATATCCAAGTGTGAGTCCACCAGATTAACTATTTTAACCACACTCCCCTCTCAATATTTGCTCCTACGTTACGACTTACGATTCGCTAACCTTGGTGCTGCTGATTTGTTTCCTTTGGAAGCAACGTGGCTCGGTATGGTTATGGTGCTGGGTGGGATTGCGCTGTGTGTCCATTCCAAGATGCAGTGATATCCACCCAATATCATTCATTTATTCATTTATTGCCATACTCTATGCTCTTTTTGGTGGGTTTTGAGTGTACAGTATACTGTATTGTTTCATTGTGTTTCTAAAACTAATTGTTACTAGTTATCATTAATACTGTTTTCATTCTCAGCCATCATTAATCTATCTACAGCAGTATTTGATGAAATAATACAAACATATTCTTTACATATACACATACACTTTCACGCACTCTCCCCCTTTCTCACTCTTAAAAAGCCGTATGCATACATGAAAATGTAGAATTGTAATCAATCCAGGCATTAAGGATATTAGCGTTGAAGGCCCTCATAGCACATACCACATACCACATACAAAAATAGCATTCCACGCACATAACAGTCGTTTCATCCGCATCATTGAGAAAAAGGGCAACAAAAATGAGACAGCAAGAAAAAAAAGTGAAAAAGTGAAACAAACATGGAGAATAGCGAGATATATAGATATATGTGCCGGGGATATCAATCGCTCGCAAACCTAAAGAAACCGAGGCCAAGAAAAATTTAAACAATCAACAATCAAGGAAGGAAAGACAAACCAAAAATTCTCATAAAATGGCCAAAAGAATTAACAGGCTAAAATCAAAGATGTATTGTACGTGGATGCACGCACAGGGTTAGTTCCATGATGACATATTCTCGTTCCCTTCCCCATTCATTTCCGTTTTCGCACACACATGTTCCGTAAAACAGTTTGCGTACAGCACCACGCATCACACACAAAGGAGAAAAACAAATCAGCCGCTGGAGGGAGTATTTTGGTATATTGGAAATGACAACAGATAAGAGTAAGAAAAATTCTGGACGAGGTGGGGAATCGTAAGATAATGGAAACAAAAACGGTTCGAAGGAGAGGTATTTATTTTGGTTTTGGTCGTATCGATTCCGTTTTTTAGTTGTCTCGCCAAAAATATAATAACAGGATGACATCCTCGGGTTTTCATAGCCGGTCGTCGCGCGGCTGAGTTATTGTGGCCACGTCGTCGGCAGATGGGAGGTGGAAAAGAGGCGAGGGGGAGAAGGCCCTGTGGGAGTGTTCGGTATATAGTCTCCGTCCTGCTGCTTGCTTGTAAAAAGAAATATATATAAAAGATATAAAACACGGGAGAGAGAGAAGGTCCTGTCCTCTCACACGCCGCGGAACTGTGATTAGAAGAGAAAGGAAAAACGGGGACGCGGTTAGCACATATCAATCCATAACGCGAGAAAAGTGGGTTTGGGGGGGGGGGGGGGGAATAACACCTCCGGGGTACACTACGAGGAAGGAGAAAAAGGGGAGAGAGAGAAGGAGAAAAGAGAAATGTAAAACTCACCAGTCTCGCAATCAAAAACCACATCGCCCCCACAAACCTGAACAACGACAACCCGGCCACACTCCATAACACCACAGCCATATATATCGTGCTTCTCTGCTCCCCCGAGGTATCGTCCGGATTAATCCGCTCCAACCCAACCGCACTCAACACAACCGCCGCAAGGGCAAAGTTACAGAAGATCCACACAAGAACAACCGCGGATCGGAAACCGCGGTAATAGTCCTCCTGTTTGTCCTCTTCGGAAATCGCGCGGACTTCCTTGGGCGGCTTTGAGGCGAATTTGGCGAGTTCTGCTTCATACTGGGCGTTTAGGTCGCCGTCGTCCTGCGGGATGGCCACGTCGACTTTTCCTGAGGGTTTTAGGTTGGCGGACGGGAGTTTCTCGGCTTTGTCGTCGCCCTTTGTACCCCAGGTTATGTCGTGGGTGTTGCAGAAGGCGTAGATGTTTAGGACGTTTATGTAGGTCGGGGTAAGGAGGATGTATTGGAGGAACTAGTATAGTTAGCCTGGTGGAAGTTCTTTAAATTTTCCGCCCTTGTTGTTAAGAGGGAGCACGGTTCTTACGCAAGTTAACATATGCCACGGATCAAAGAACAGCAGCGACGCGACAATCCATAGCACATATGTCGACATGAGTGACACGATCATCGAGAAGAACTGGCGATTACTGAAAACGGACGAGAAACTAAAATTCCCATCTGCCGTCTCGGCCTGTATCGATTTCACTGTGATGAAAATCGCGGCAAATGCCAAGTAGATCATGATACCGATCCAGAAATAGACCATCGTCATGTAAAACTTGTTGGAGCCCTGTGGTCGATTTCCTAGAGCAAGTATAAAGGATGTCATGAGCGTTGCGAGGTAGAGCCATTCGAAAACAACTCCGAGGATACGCCCAACCTCGCCTAGTAAATTTTCGGCACCGAGAGATTTGGTGAGGATATGAAAGACAAGGTAGAAATTGCCCTACGGAAAAGGGTTAGCCGTGTATAAAGATCGATAAACCACTCCCATAAAGGAGGAGGAAGAGGAGGGGAAAACCTACGATAGCAAACCATGCAAATAACATATTAATCGTCTGGTAAATGAACTCAATAATCAACATAAATTTCCTCGTAGTGCTATGATTACTCCGGAAGATTTGGTAGAAATGCGCAATGGAATATACTGCCGCGAAAAAGCTTCCGTTTAGCCAGCGACGGCGCTGGAGAATGAACTCCGCCATCCGATCGGGGACATCGGTCTCGCCCGTGGATGATTTGACGTATTGCAGGATCCATTGGCAGTTGCGTTTAGCGACGAGCTCGAAACAAAGGATCCGATCTTCTGCTAGATACATATTCGCCGTGAAGATGCCAGCGTTCGCGCCGTGCATCTTCTCACCGGCAAAGTACTTCTCCAAGGGTCCCTGGCCGTTTTTGTCGTTCTGCAAGGCCACATATCGATAGGCAGAGAATGCACCAGGAAGCACAGAAATAAACCCGAAGGCAGATTCCAGTGGTTTGTCGAGAATGTTGCTCATTTTATATTCAAAATTCTGCGCGGCGACGAGCGGGTTGATCAGTTTTTTCCCATGAGACAACATAGTTTTGATCTCTCCGCAGGCGCCACCGCACATGGGGTGTAAGTCGAAAGCGCGCCACAGGTGGTAGATAGAGTCCCTACCCGGTTTGGTTCCAGCGTCGAGAAGAACGCAAATGTTGGGATCAAGAACACGGCCAAAGGCCTGGAAGAACCATCGATGGGAGTTGATCTTCTTCTGATTCTTCTCCTTCAGGCAGAAAATCATCTGAACGGGAACCCCTGATCGCGGCTTCAAATGGACTTGGTTGCCCTTCAATTCCATACCGATCTGTGTGGTATATTCGTAGATGTGCGCAGTGACGTCTTTGCCGTTGACTTGCTGTTTGGCAATGCCATCTTGATAAACGCCCAACCCGGCCAAGACAGCCTTGGTGCGCTGGTTGATTTTGGCACGTCCGTCGCTGACAACGCAGACAACAATTTTCTTCCATGCCTCCTTGCCCCAGGTTTTACTATTAGTCCGCGAACACATGTACTCGATGTTTTTAAACACGCCAATCATGGTGCGGGCGAAGAGAAAATCATCTTCGTTGTACATGGTGACCACAATGAACAGCTCCGTGTGCCTGGGTTTAGCGAATAGTCTCTGGCGTAAAGTAAAGCGCTCATTATAAAAGTCGGCCGGATCACAAGTGGCGGCAGAGTAGCGCATGTGAGTGAACTCATCGCGCTCTGGGGGAGCTGCATGGTTTACCTGGCTCAGCAACTTTGGTGGGATGGGGCAATCCAAGACCAAATTACCGTTGAACAACTGGACTTCTTTCACTGTCTTCCATCTTCGTATGGGGGCGGGACTGGGAGTAGGGGCAATGGCGGTTTCTTCGTCATTATATTCCGTTAACTGAGGATTCGGGCTGTATGGATTATCTGGATGCTGTAGCATGGGCACTTGGTCGTCTTGATATGGCTGTGGAGTTTGCGAAGGAAATCGGTTCCCGTCATAGTCAGATGGGGAGGTAGTGGGCTGGTAAGGCTGGGTGTAGTATGCGTCATGATGAGCTTCGGGGGAGATCGTATACTCTGTGCGCGCAATAGGGGAAGGTCGATAAGGATGGGCGATTTCGTAGGCTTCGTTATGACCGTAGGAGTTGTCGATATTCTCTACGGAGTACTTTTTAATGGCAAAGTAGTTAGTGGGTAGCCCTGAATCTGAAGCGGGAGGGAGGGAGATATATAATGTATATATATGTGGGTGGGTGGGTGATTTACAGTTGGTTGGTCAGCCAGGCGGTCCACTGAAGGCATTTCCAGGTGGCCATATTGCCGATATGGATTGTCCTCCAGCTGGTAGCCCTGAAGCGGCCTGCCAGGAGACGGGGTGCGATTAGGGTCGAGTCGATTGGGATTCATTCCGACGTCATGTGGATCGTCGTCGTGTAAAGGGTCTTGAAAAGATGGTTAATTTCAGTCTGTTTTAGCTTTGTGTTCCCATGTATCTAGTTGGCACATAGCAAAAGAGCTGTGTGGTGTAAAATGAATGGCGGGCGAGTGACAGGAGTGAGAGCGCAGCTTGGTAACTTGCACCAACGAATGCGAGGTAAAAGAACAAATTGAACGAGGGGAGCTCAATCAAACGAAGGAGCAGGTGGAATGAAGAGAAATGAAGCTCTGCGGTAGACAGCCGAGAGAGCACAGTAACTGGGAGATAGATAGTTGAGGGGGAAAGTGTTAAAGAGAAGGTATCGCAGTGACGGTGCGAAGGCTGGTTGAGGTGGTGATTGCGCGGCTCTGCTGGTCACGTTTCAGATGCACCGAGGGACGATAAGGAAATAAAGGGAAGCTTCCAAGCTTATGAGGAACTCTATCCACTGCAAAAGCAACAACAGAGATGCAGGACGAATCACTCACCGAGTCGGTTGTATGTCATACTGATCTTCCCTTTTCTCTCCTCTTACGGTATTTCCTCGAGTAGCAAGACCAGCAATGCGGCTCCGGATCCTCGATTGCTCCGCGTGTTTCAGCTCTCAAGGGCTCCCTGAGCGGGAGGAATACGTACTCCCGGAAGGCTGAACTGACAAGCGTCAAGTATATTAGCTTGGCAGGACAAGGTATGCTATGCGCAGAGTATTTCCTCAGTGCTAGATTCGTCGGTTCAGTGTTGAGCGAAGATTGTTTAGTGGACGATGACGTTTTTCGTCGGAAAGAATCTGCTTCAAAGACAGAAAACTCGGAGAATTCAACAAAAAGTTCAAGTCAGAGAAAAATGTTGGCAGGGCTGGCTATTTAGCGCAATGCAAAATGCAAGCTGAGCTGCCAGAAAGAGGGTGAAAACTGCGATGAAGGACAGCCGGGCAGACTCAAGCAGGGAAGTTTTATTGATAATAATAAATAATATGAAGCCACCGACAACCCACAACAAACAAGAGCAAACAGATTATTAGATCCAGTCTAAAAATAACATGGCGCCTACTGGAGTCGTGACGCAACCCGCTAACTACTCCACACTGCATCAGTCCGTCGTGGCTCAGTCGCTGCCACGGTTGGTTAGACAGTAGTAGGTACTAGGTAGTGACTGGCCGCCGGTCGTTCGCATGCCTCCCGAGCTTGCCTTGAATGCCATGAAACCAAGCGGAGTTAAATCCACCCTCTCGCAACTCTGCAGTTACCACGGTTCCACAGGGAATGAGGTATCTCTCTGTTCCTGACTCTGGCTTCTTCAAAATGGTACATAGTATACGTGGTTCAGAAATGCTGAACAATGGTTCGGAATCTATTACCGGGGAGATCTGGATCAACGACCGGTTAATCAAATACAGCCTCATTTATTGTATCCAATCTGTGGGGGGACCTATGGTTGCTCCGCCAAGCTTGACACTTCCGCCGCTGCATATAACCCTCTTTCCTCCTCCTTCCTAGCACATACGAACATAGGGAGTGGAAAATAGGGCTTCCCGTCCGCTCAGCCGTACTCAAGCCACTCACCGGCCTGTTAGTAGTTGGGTGGGTGACCACCAGCGAATCCGGGCTTTCGTATGTTTATGTTTTTTGTCTTATATATAATATATACAAGCATCAAATGCTCGCTTGCGCTCGCTTTGCTGCTTGTTCCACCCCTTCCACTCCCTACCTCCTCTACCACCACCACCGCCTCTACCGCCCCGCAACCCCCCCTACCACTTCTACCCCCTACCTCTACCCCCTACCTCTAATAATAATATTAAATAATAACATTGCAGGTGAGCGGTAGCTTACTAATCTCTAGGGCCTGGTAACATAGGTGACGCGACTTCTGCCGTGTTACGTTACCCCGTTTTATTTCTCGTTCCCACCACGCGCCACCACGCCATATCATATCACCATCCAAAATCTCCATTCTCACCACTAAATCTTTGCTACCCATTTCACTTTTTGATGTGACTCTTTTATCCCTATCTAATGGCTGAGAACAGTTCACAGGATTACAAGGCTCTCTTCCATAGAGTGGAGGAGGAAGCAGAGCTGAGAAGGCAGGCAGAGGAGCGAGAGAGACAGGAAAGAGAGTTGCGAAGGCAGGCAGAGGAGCGCAGTCAGCCAACAACATTCGAAGAGCTCATCAAGGGTTGTCATAATTCATTCTCCCAGCCTCTGCAGGTTAGAACGCCATCCCACTCCACAAAGGGGGCTATCCTGCCACCCACTGGGAAATAACTGTCCAACAAATCTTCGCTTTTGGTCAAGCTGTCCGGGTCAACTGCAAGAAACTTACAATGCAGTTTCCACTTATCTTCAATCAACTGGAAGAGATGCACCTCAGCTATTCACATCTCTTCTTGAGCTGGATGGACTTGGTCGGCGGTATTCTAGTCAAAAACTACGAGTGAGAAGGATCTGAAGGCCTATGAGCGAGGTGCGGTGGAAGATCACGTCCATGATATCATAGCCGAGCTATGCAAAATACCTGATGCCCGAGAGAGATTCCGGCTTGGCGATGGGATCATGTTTGAAAATCATGGAAATCTTCTACAGTCAGAAGAGTCGGATGTACAGCTGATTGATGAATCCAGCTCACGGAACCTCAAACCAGATTCATTCTGTATTCATCAAATCAACGGTTCCACCAATACCTTGATTACAACAGTCGAGTATAAGCCACCACACAAGCTCTCAGTTGAAAATCTCCAAATGGGTCTTCGATCGATGAGGTTCTGGGAACACATTGTTCAGTCAGACACAATTCCTGACAAGGACAAGGATGAAAAGCTGAGATATCATGCAGAACAGCTGACTGGCTCAGTCTTGGTTCAGAAGTATCATGTCATGATTCAACATGGACTTGAGTATTCCTACATAACTACTGGACTTGCTATCATTCTACTTCATATTTCATATGATGACCCTAGTACACTCTATTACTATCTTTGTGAACTAAACACAGATGTGACTTCAGAAAATTCTGAGGTCTTTCAGTCAAAGACAGCTGTTGTTAGAATATTATGTTTCTGTCTGATGTGCTTCCTCTCAGATATCCGTAATCAGGAGTGGCGGAATGCGGCAAGATCCCAGCTCAATACATGGATCTCAAGTTTTGATTCTACACAGTCTGAAATTCCTAATAATGAGCTGCAACAAACTCCTCCAGAATTAGAATACCCAAGCTCAGAATATATGCTCTCTGAATGTCTGCCATCATCTCCATTACAGCCCGGCCGTCGAGTTTCCACCCAATCTCGAACCACCTGTGCACCAATAGACACTTCACTGCAGAGTGACCATATAGATAGTTCTGACTCCGACTCTGGCCCAGCATCGCACGGCCGGAAGCGGGGCTTTAGCCAAGTGATGTCCTGTCCGCCCAGCCAGCGTTCATCGGCACGTTCAGCAGGTCCTAGTCCTCGCCCATCAAGCGGCCAGCACCAACACACAACACATTACTGTACACAGCGATGCTTGTTGAGTTTGCAACAGAGAGGTGAATTGGATCATCAATGTCCTAATATTTCTCTTCACCAGCAAGGTCAGAATGGTGATCACCATCCTATTGATGCAAGAAAGCTTGTGCAACTACCGAAAGCACAGCTTGATTGTGATCTTGACCATAACTGCACACCATTTGGGATTTGTGGGTTGTATGGTGCACCAATAAAAATCACTTGTGCTGCATATGGCTAAACTCTTGTTGGAAAGGGGACGACATCTGGGTTATGGAAACATGTCTCATGTGAAGCAGAAGTATACCAGGTTCTTAAGAAAGCACAGGGTTCTGCTGTCCCTGTATTCCTGGGGATGATTGATTTGAAACTGGTCCTTTTTATTCATGGTGCTGGGGACATCTGCCATATGCTTCTCATGGGTTGGGCTGGGGAAAGTATAGACAAAGTCAAAGTCTCGACGCTAAATGATGAAATCTCCAAGTCAGTGAGGGAAATCCGTATGCTGGGAGTGGTGCATAAGGACCTGCGGCCTGCCAACATGTTATGGAATCATGAACTGCGCCGGGTTCTGATCATAGACTTTCACCGGTCCGACATAGACCGGCGCCCGAAGCAAAGGCGAGTTGGATCCTTCAAAAGGTCACTTCATGGGGTGGGCATCAAACGACCCTGTAACGACAATGGCTGGACCGGGCATATCTCTACGATAACAGGGGCAGACGTCCAGAGTAGCGTCTGAATGGTAAAACAGCGTTGAGGAGAGATTAGGGCTAAAAGATGTATGTATGGTAATCCAGTATCAGCATTGATAATAATTGAGTTCCAAAAAATGTCACTTTGTCTTCCGCGTCTGATTTTGTTTCGCGGACAGCTACGGCAAGGTACAGCTTTCCTGACTTAGTTCCCTCACCAGATTCTATAGCACATGCTGGAGTTTGGATGCCACGTCAAAGACGAAACCGATTATCACCACACCATGTCAATGTTTAGAGAAGATGTCGACAGAGTTGTTTGCTTCAGTCCTCGCCGTTTCATCCTTGTTTGCTTAGCATATTTGATTCCGGGCCCAAGAGCTCCATTGATATCACCTGCCTATTTGTAGATCGTTGAAGGGCCATAATTATTAAAGTCCAAACCATGAACGTAGGGTGAATCCACAAAATTGTTGAAAATATTGATAGGAATGAGGAGAAAGGTTTTTGTTAAATTTACAGAGTTGCCATCCTGAGCGACATTGTCTCAGGCAAAGTACAGAAAGTCAAATTGATATTTATTTAAGTTGCTTTTTTCCACCTTAAAATCCCTTCTTTTTCCACAGAATTCCTTCATTTAGACCTGTACTGGAGAGACATGCTTAAAGTCTGTCAAAGCTTAATTGAGTTGCATACTGAAAGAATATTCAGCGATAATTTGTGACAAAATTCTGTCATTGTATGACTTGCTGTTGTCAGTGTTGATGAATGAGTGTTGTTTATCAGATTGTTCTGTTGAACTCAGCTGCTTATAACTATCTCATGTGTGAGATAGCTTAATTATTGTGGCGGACATATTACTTGTGAAAACAGAATTTTCCCAGGCCCTTCTGAAAATTAGTAGCAAAACATCATTAAAAAATCAAAATATCCGCATTTCTCTAGAATCATTCAATATCATTCAAATACGCGTCTTTCTTACCTTTATCATCAAATTCATATATATCAATCAACTCTTTTTTCAATATGCCTTGTAACACCTGCTGTTCTGCTGCTTCACAAGCCTGTACAAAGACTTCTACATTGTGCCTCAGTCTTCTCAAACTACCTGTTTCAGAAGTTCTGAATAATGGAGAGAATTCAGTCAATAATGAGATGAAGAAGCAGATGAATGAGAAGAATATAGAGACTCAGTCTGAGAATTCTTAATATCTGTAAATCTCTACACCTGAGTCTGACATCTCATACAGATTGTATAAACAGGTGATTATCAATGAGATAAAGAATAAGAGAGATGATAAAATAATTAATAAGTAGAAAGAAGAAGAAGAATCAGAAGAATAAATCTATAACTTCTACAATCAATTCTTTTATATAGATCTCTTAAATGTCAGTGATTATATTCTCTTCTTCAGCTCTGACAGCTTCAACTTCATTTAATATAGCATTCTTAAGTGAGATAATCAATGTGATAATGATGAAATATATGATAAAAGAAATAGAAGAACTGAATTCAGAATCTCATTATTATTCACATTCAGATCTACTGTTGAAATCTTTTATTAAATTCACTATTGAAATCTTTCATTAAATTCACTATTAAATCTTTCATTAAATTCACTGTTAAATCTTTCATTAAATACACTGTTAAAATCTTTCATTAAATTCACTGTTGAAATCTTTTATTAAATACACTGTTGAAATCTTTTATCAAATTCACTGTTGAAATCTTTCATCAAATTTATTATTGAAATCTTTCATTGAATTTACTATTAAATCTTTCATTGAATCTACTGTTGAATCTTTTATTAAATACACTGTTAAAATCTTTCATTGAATTCACTATTGAAATCTTTCATTAAATTCACTGTTGAATCTTCTATTAAATTCACTGTTAAATCTTTTATTAAATACACTGTTAAAATCTTTCATTAAATTCACTATTGAAATCTTTCATTAAA